TAGAATTATTTTGTCGAACACCAGAGTGTTGTGGCAAATATGCCAATTGTGGGTAAAATGTTTTTAGTTTTTGGGTTTTTTTTTCTTAAACGCTATCACTTTTTATCTCTAAATTTACAATACAACTTTATAGAGCATGCCGTCTGTTTTGTTTTAACTTTTCAAAATTAATAATAGGGAAGTTGTTTTTATCAATGTTTTTAGTTTTTTTTTTTTTCTTCACTTAAACACTATCACTTTTTTTTCTAAACTTACAATAAAACTTTGTAGAGCATGCCGTCTCCTGTTGATTCTCCGTATTCCTTTTTGCTTCCGCTACTAAGGGGGTGTCTTCAATCTTTTGAGCCGGCTGGATGTCGTTGACTCTCTCGTACTCCACAATTTTTCCTCCACTTTTAATTTTTCGTTGGGCGCCAATTAAACATAACGTTCTTTTTCGAGTGACAAAATGGGACTGACTTTATTTTTCCTTTATTCTTAAAATTAAGTTTTGTTGGACAATGTATTTAGTGCAACGTTAGCACTTTTGATTTTATTATTTCTTAGAGTTAGGTTTCTTAAAATGTAAGCATTTATCTGTTGTTTATACGAATGAATGACATGAATGCATTGTAAGCATTTTGCAAGCATATTTAAGTGCCATCGAACTTGCACGCGCAACAGAAACAGAAATAAAGAAGTTAACGTTAACTTATAAAATCAAAAGGGGTAGCGAAGCGCACCGGGTTCAGCTAGTACAATATAAAAATGAAACAAAAAATTATGCCAACTAACTAAACTAACTTTTTGAAATATTTTTATTTATAAATATAATTTTATGTACAATTTGTAGCCGTGCTTGATCTTTGGAAATTTTATCAGATTAAGTACGAACTTTTGCCATCTTGTAACTATCTATACTAGAACATTAATTTGTTTCTAAAATAAGCAAATGTTTTCCAATTACTCTGAGTACGAACCATGCTTATTGGCTTTTCTCTTAATAAGGTAAACTGTATGCTTGTCACGCAATTTGTTCATGTCAAAAAGTGGAAACGCTCTCACCCCTAAAAACACGAAACCATCATCATGAAGTTGAACTCTATGTCCGAAGGGAATACCCGATGTCGTAAATATTCTCGGGGTTCTGGCGAAAACATTTATTTGTTTTAATCGCATCGTAGTGGGATTAATTTTAGTAACAAGTCAATTAGATAAAATTACATTATTTGTATTCAATAATGGTATGAAGAAGAAAGGGAAGTCAAAAATAGCTTCTGAATAGTTTGTTTCTTTCGATACAGACTAATTCGGGAAAAGTTTATTTGTGGTGTAATATATTATTGTTTGAGAAATTTCTCGGTTGATTGATGTATTTTTTCTTATGCTATGGTTTCTAATTTTTGTACAAAGTGCTGTAATTTTGGACCAATGGCACAATCTTTTGTATGAATTAATCATGAATAATTCTATAATATTGCACAATTTTTTTATTGAGCATCAGAACTAATTCGGTGACTATCAGATTAATGAAAGTTAAATAGAATTTTGCGTATTTTTATACCCTACAACACTATGTGTTGGGGTATTATAAGTTTGATTGGGCCAAAAATTATGTAAGACCTGGAAATATTGATTTCCCACAGAGGAAAGTATATATGGATCTCCCTATCTCGTCGAGCTGAGTCGATCTACAGGTCGCAATTATGGCCCGATCTTCACGAAATTTAGAATGGAGGTGGGGCTAGGGTCAGAATAGAACCCTATTTCTTTTGGAGATGATCGCAAAATATTTAGGGGTTGAAATGGACCAAAAACTGAAAAAATTCCTGATTTTGCAGTTATCAAAAATATAGACCAATTGAAGCGGAAATTAGCAAGTGGTTAGAGCATAGGGCTGGGCAGAAACCTTCATGGTCATCGGGTTATATTTAGTGAAATAGACCATAACATTAGTGTTAAATAAAAGTCAAATTTTCCATTAAACCGCTAATATTTTTAATCCCGGCGAAATAACAGATAGACGAAAAGGTCAATTATGACCGTTACGTTGATGCCGATAGTAAATATATATATATATATATATATATATATATATATATATATATATATATATAAAATGTGTATATACAAAGGAACCGATTTTGACATATTTTGTCAATTCAGAATGCCCTCTTCGCATAAAATAATAAAATTAAAAAAAAAAACACAATAAAGGATTCCAATAATGATGTAAATAGCATTGTAGCACTTTTTGGTACTTTTTTTTATTTTTTTTATATTTTTTATCGCAAGCGATTTTTTCCATTTAACTTATCATATTGAAGTGTACATTTTGTAATATTTTTTTACCTTACAACACAGGTTGGGGATATTATATACAGATTGCAATTATCGTCCGATCCTCACGAAAATTTTCATAGGGTAGGGGTAGGCTCAGAAGGGCTGGGCTTATTGTTTTAAAAGATGTCCTTAATATATTTAGGGGTTGAAATGGACCAACAACTAAAACTGTTCCTGATTTTGGATTTGGTCATAAGGCCTTCTAACATATTGTACTGTTGTAGGGAATCATATGGTCGTCTCAGCACGACTATTGCCTTTTCTTACTTGTTAAATATAAAATGGTTCATTTAAAAATAATATATAATAGTGAATTTTTAAACATATAAATTTTAAACATATATACCCTCAACATCCCTAAAAATTCCTCGTAGACTCCATAAAGTATATATATTCATAATCAGCATAAATTTTTAAGTCGAATATCTGTCGTGTGTTGTAATCACGATACAGCCCAAATTATTTTACGTAGAACGTCAGAATTTTGCGGAACCATTTGTATTGTGACTAAGATGGCTGGTATTAATAATGTAACGGTACCTCTCAATATTCGGTATTTTCATGATTTTTACCACATTTTTTCTACGGATTTGTCAAAATATTGGTATTTTTAGGTCATAATGGGTTCATGCTCGTGTGGCGAAACATTGTATGTATGGGTCCACGTTTTGGTGTAGTCCCCATATTACGGTACCTCCCGATATTCCGTATTTTGATGATTTTTGCCACATTTGTTTACAGATTTGTCTAAAAATTGGTATTTTTAGGGTATAATGGGTTCTAGTTCCGGTCGCGAAACATTGTATGTATAAGTCCACGTTTCTGTATAGCCCCATATAACGGTAACTCCCGATATTCGGTATTTTCATGATTTTTGCCACATTTTCCCACGGATTTGCCAAAATATTGGTGTTTTTAGGTCATAATTGGTTCATGCTCGTGTGGTAAAACATTGTATGTATGGGTCCACGTTTTGGCATACCCCCATATAATGATACCTCCCGATATTCGTTATTTTTATGTTTTTGTCACATTGTTTCACGGATTTGTCTAAAAATTGGTATTTGTGGGTCGCAATGGGTTCTAGTTCCGGTCGCGAAACATTGTATGTATAGGTCCACGTTTCTGTATAGCCCCATATAACGGTAACTCCCGATATTCGGTATTTTGATGATTTCTGCCACATTTTCCCACGAATTTGTCTAAAAATTGGCATTTGTGGGTCATAATGGGTTCCTGCACATTATATGTATAGGTCCACGTTGTGATATAGCCCCCACATAACGGTACTTGCCGATGTTCGATATTTTTATAAAAATTGGTATTTATAGTTCATAGTGGGTTCTAGCCCGCTGGCAGAACATTGAATATTAAGTTCCACGTTTTCCTATAGCGCACATATAACAATACCGATATTCGGTATTTTGATAATCCTAGTCCTGTTTACCTACGAAATTGTTTAATATTTGGTATTTTAGGAGACTTGATAGATGAAGTATAGAATTGTCTATAGAGGTTCCCGTTTTGGAATGGCCCCATATAACGGCCTCATTCTTTTTATGGGTTTTTGATAAGTTTAACTGCATTATCCAAACGGTCTTAGTGGTATATGAAGTTTAGAGTGAAACACGCTAGAATGCAGACACAATTATATAAAATGTTTCTTTTACCCTAAGGTGGAGGGTATTATAAGTTCGGCCTGACCGAACTTAATGTTTTTTTACTTATTAAATATAAAATCGTACATTTTTAAAAAATATAATATATAATCGTGGATGTTTAATATATAATCAAAGATTCTGTATTGTGGATTTTTTTCAAAAATATTCTTTGGACTGCAGATCTTAAAAAAATATATATTTTAGAATTTGGGATTTTTGAAGATAGGGGAATTGCATGAAAACAAAAAAAAAAAAATATTTTCTTAGTTAAGAACTAATGTTAAGAACTAAAAAAATGCATAAGATAATTTGATAGTCTAAAGCTGTAACCGTTTATTTTGATAGTGGATTTTAAAATTATTTTTTTTTTTACTTACTTTTTCTAATATTTTTAAAATTTTAATCGTGGTTCCTATTAGGAATATTTTTCCAAGTTCCAAGTTGAGTATAGTTTTACTCATAGACTGTTTTGGACTGGCAGAATATTGATTCTCGTGGTCCCCAAGTATTAATCCTGTGGGCAAACGAACAGCATTTTAATAAAAATCGGATAATTGTTTATACACATATTTATAATATTCTTAAATATTCAATATTTGTAACAATACATCATCTTTACATGGGCGATGTTACATAACAAATTTAAAATTCGTAAAGGTTTCAATTTGCTGCAATATTGTTGCGTTTTTTCTACATCATGCAATTCATAGCCGATGTCTTTCAATGGATTTTACGTGACGAATGGTTTTGCAAAATAAAAAAAACCCAGTAAACCGCATTGCGGCATACGGAATATTGGAATATCCCTTCTATTATGACAGAATCTGGACGTGTGTTGATGTGGTGACCGTGCATGCTTTATGTTATGTTTATCACATACTGTTTAGAACTGGTGTTGATAGTTTTGTTTATTATATATGATTATTGTCAAAAAAAATATTTATAAATAAGACCGTGCAAATTGATAATGGTAGGGTAAATGTACCAGTAGTCGGCACTTTTAGAATTTTCGCTTTTTCAATCTTTCAATATTCTGAGTAAAATCTTTCAATTGCAGAAAACTAAAGTTGTTTGGATTCCAAATTTTGTTTAGTTTTGGAAATAATAAACAAAAATTTAATTTGTTTTTAGTAAATTGGTAAAATTTGCAATTTTACTAAAACAGTGGTTTTTTGCCAGTAGTCGGCACCATTTTCCAATGCTCGGCATGTCTATTTGCCAGTAGTCGGCATATTGTATTTCAATAAAGAAAATATTATTTTTTATATTATTTTTTATTTCAAATAGTACAAAACAATTATATATTACTAATTCACAGTTTAATCTAGAATTTGAAATAGTATGGTTACCTTTAGTAAATGGATTTTTAATTAAAATAAAAATGAGATAAAAGAAAAAAAGAATAAATTTAATATTTGGAGTTTATTTTGTCTTTTAACCTAGTTACTGTTTTTAATTCATTTTGGTTTAACTTAAACTTAAACATTAGGAATAAAATAAGTTAATTCACAGGTGCATTGGTATCAGTCTTCCACATCACTGTCAAGTTCTTCGTTGAAAGAACTACGCTTTTCCCTTTTCTTTCCTCTTTTATTTTTTCTTATTTTTTCTAATTTCTCCAATTTTCGTTTCTGGCGTTCCAGTTTTCGCTCTTGTACTGCGTTTGCCTTGGCAATTTTTTCATTTTCTACTGCTTGAATATGCTCCCTCCATGCAAGTGCAGAAATTGCACTTGGAGGCTTGATTCTCGAGTTGGGTTTTACTGCTGATGTCAATCTAGGGAATTGAATATGGCTTTTAAACGATTTTGACACAGACCCTTCTTCGTTTTGTAAAAACTTGGAAGAACCTAGTTAGAAAAAGAAAAAGTGTATACTGGCATTATACCTGGGCACTACAGAATATATGCACGTTTGTATAGATTACCTGGTTTGGATAAGTTAACGGGACTTAAAACATTTCTAATAAGTGCGCTAGTTACTGATGATTTAGGTGAATCTTTCGTTGGTTTTAACGACAATTCTACATTTCTGGATGTAGTGGGAGACGAACAAAAAGTCAATATCGGTGCATTATTTTCATTTAATGGAGATGAAGAGCGTAGCCGGGTTTCTTTTTCCAAAATCCAGTCTTTATTGACTATACATGAACTGGGCTGCACGGTTACGTTGGCTAATAATTCAATATCTTGTTCGCCTTCAGAGTTTTTCAGAGACTCAATCTCTTCAACAACTATGTTAGCGTCAATTCCCCGAGAATTAAGCCTTGAACTTATTAGGTTTATTACTTGAATTGCTTTGTCGAAGTCCATTAAATGTAAACCATTATTTGCATCGCTCCTATTTGTCATTCTTTCCAAATTGTTTCTTACACACTTTGTATAATCGACGTTCTCAGGGTTAAACGGATAAAGTCCACATTTCCGGAACCCATTCTTAATGGTGTCTTCCAAATCTATTGCTGACAGCACGGAATGCAACAGAGGACAAAAAGTGCATTTTGAAAGGACTTTGTTAATATTTTCCGTTTTATTTTGCCATTCCCTCAATGTATTTTTCCACTCAGATTTCAACGGCTTAAAAACACTGACGTCCGCTGGTTGCATTATATGTGTTGTATTGGGAGGAAGTGCGTACAATATAATTTTATTATTCTCACAGAATTCACTAAGTTCCATAGTCATGTGAGACTTATGACCGTCGACAAATAGCAAAACTGGCCTAGGGACTTGATTTTCTTCTAACCATTTATGGACACAATTAGCAATGTATTCAAAGAACACGTCACTGATCATCCATCCGGTTTCCGATTTTCCGAGGAACCAGGTCTCCGGGAGACTGTTCACTACATCCTTGGGAACTCTTTTAAATGGAAAAACAACCATTGGATTAACAGTTTTACCATTAGCGGAAAAGACTAATAGTACTGTCACTGTTTCTTTTTCGTTTCCTTTTTGTATTGAATACACATTTCTGTAACCCTTTGGCGCTAAAACTTTTCCAGTTTTCGGGCACATAGAAAAACTGGTTTCATCCCCATTAAAATCCTGGATGGATCCTCCAAGATATCTGTAGCATTCTGCTCTTCTAAAAACGTTTTTAAATCGGAAAACCATTTTCTTATAGTCTCCTCCGTTACTATGGCTCTCCCCTTTGTAATTCCCTCGGACTCCCGAATGCTTAAATCAGGATGTCGTCTTAAAAATGCGTTAAACCATTTTCTGCCAGGTCGACTGTCTTTAAAAGGAGTAACTCTTTTATCCTCATTTAAAATTTTTTGTACGGTGTTTAACAATTCGTCAATTTTTATCGGAAATCCACATTTGGCCAAATCTAGACACCACTTTTTTAAATGCTCTTCTTCGGCAGTTGTTAATATTGTAGGAGGTCCCATCTTTCTTGGGCCTTCAGGAGCTCTACCAGACAGTTTGTCCTGCAAAGTTGCCCTGGGAACACCATACTTTTTACTGGCACCCAAAATTGATATATCGCCTCTTCTTATGGCATTTAGTGCGTCGTTCAGGGCGTTTTCCGTATATTTGTGAAATGATCTTTTTCCTTTTGGAGGCATCTTTGAAAAAAAATGTTGGCTATCTGAAACGTCAAATAGCTTCTTTAAAAAACCTACTTAACTTAGAAAAGTTGGTCAAAAAACACAAATAAAAGCGACTGCCGACTTAAGGACCATAGTTATGTCGAATACTGTGTAAATCCACTCAAAAATATTTTTTTTATTTGAGTAGTTTTTGGATTATTTTTTAATACTTCTCTCAAATTTTGGTGAAATTTGTCAAAAATGATATTTTTCTAGTAATTGGCAACCCCTGCCGACTATTGGCAAATCTCTTTTTTTCCTGTCCCTAATGTCGGCATTAAAAAATATAACAGAAAAATGATTAATTTGTATTTTTTAAAGTTATAAAATGATCTTTAGACTGTTATTTACTATTATAAAATATTTCTGATTTCAAAAGTATTAATTTTAATATACTTACATAGATTATTAAGTTGACGCCACCACTAATTTTTCTTTACAAACAGCACTATCGCACGTGTTGGAAGACACTCACTGACAAAAACCGTTATTCTCTCGTAATAAATGATCGATGCTCATTGTTTTTTTTTTACAGAAAGAGAGCAGAGATCAGTGTTGATGTTTTTTGCAATTATTTCATTATTTGGTCACTTCTATTCTTAGTTATTTAAGTTTATATTTCAAAACTGCCGACTACTGGGACATGCCGAACTTAGGCGCACTTACCCTATATATGTATATTAAAAAGAAACTCACTGCGAGCCAAAAATAAAGGTACAATCGACTTTTAATGCTAATAAAAAGGGATTTCGGTTGGATTAGAAATTATTTCCATAATTTCATTCATATATATTTATTTATTATATATTATTATATTTATATATTGTCAGATACGAGAGAGAAATATATACGGCCGTTTAAAAGATTTGTTTTTTCATTTTCACGAAATTTGGTATGGGTGTAAGATACCATATAGTCGGTCCCGCTTGGATATAAGCTTCGTTTTATTGTTTTAGTCAAAATTATTGATTATTTTCGACATTTAATACCAAGTTTTGTACGTCAGATTTGGTGTGTCGATATTAAAAAAATATTAAAACCCATTGATTAAAAAAAAAAAAAAAAACAATTTACTTTTTTGAAGAAAAAATATTCCTGTTACATGAGATATTCACTTCCGAATTTCTTTATGTAAGCATTACTGTTAATTAGCTTTTAATCAAATAAAACAAATTATCTTTTGTGTTTACAACAATGAGACGCTTTTAACTTAATTATTATATATTTCTTGTGAGCATTAAACATACACACAAGGCCTACACGCATGTCCTACTAATGGATTGTATGCGGATGTATTGGGACATTAAAACGACGAATTTTTATTACATTATATTAAAAATAAAAAAATCACTATAATTGTGAAATTTTGCAAGAGGGTCGCTTTGGGCACATACTTAACATTGTGCCACGGAAATTGGGTGAATATATGAATTTAGAACTCTGACATATTACACATGGTTCCCATTTTTTTTTTTGCACTTACACTTACACTTCGAATTATTATACCGTTGATATTGAGAATAAAAGTCTGAAGTTTTAGGCAACTTTCGAAACGAAGTAGGACCAAATTCTTATATTTAAATCCAATAATTCAGAAAATTATATTAAAATCTAGTATCAATAAAATGTAAACATTCATTTCTGAAAAAAATAATATTTTTGACACAGTCAAAAAAAAACTCCCTAAAAGCGAGAGAGAGAAACGCATTCCAATTCTACAACAAGAAAAAAACTTCAGACAAATTGGTCAGAGTTCCGACCTACATCGGTCAGACGCATTTGAACAAATGACACACTTTGAAGAAACTCTTCGAACGTCCGACATTTTGTTCGCTGGGGGCCTGCAATAATAGTTCCACACTAATAGTTCCAACTTTCAGCGATCTTTGAACACTAATTGTATAACGAGTGTTCCCCGACGACACGACAACAATTATTTAACCAAAATGTATGAGCACAAAAAAAAAAAAACTCTCGAAAAGCGAGAGAGAGAGAGAGAGAAACGCATTGCAAATCTGCAACAAGAAAAAAACTACAGACAAATTGCTCAGAATTCTAACCTACGTCGGTCAGACGTATTTGAAAAAATTTCAAACTTTGAAGAAACTCCGCGGACATCCAACGTTTTGTTCGTTGGGGGCCTGTAATAATTGTTCCACACTGCGTATACATACTAAATGTGACCACGTATACGTTACCTAGTACGGCTGTCATTCCTTCTTTAATACCACGAAAAAAAATATTTTTCGGAATTCCCAGATTTCTGCTCTTAGAAAATCTGATATAACGGCCCACGTTTCCGCAGGACTCCTTTAAATTTCTGAATTTTGCAGGCACAATTACCAATCAACTTAGCTGACATTAGGGTTATTGGTAGATGGGCTATCTCTATACATATAATTAATCAATGGTCCACTATTTAGTATATATTTCATATAAATATACCTCCAGAGTCAACCAAGATTGTTGTTGTTTTCCCGAAATAAAATACTCTACAGGGTGAGACAAAAACCCTGCAACAAAGTCCAACGCCATAATTTTTACATTTTTTTTTTAAATTTCATTAAATGAAATCAAAAAATATCGGAATAGCATCAGATTTTAGAATACGTTTAGAATGAAGCGAGGAACCTCATTTTGTCACCATTCTTGGGTGGGGCGTGCTGATTGGCTGAGGGTATACATCTGTTGGCGTTACCGACAGATACTTTTTAAATTGCATATGTTCGATTTTAACGTGCAAAATGATAATAGACCCAAAAATTCTATGAAAACTTCCCCTCAAAGTATAGTGATGCCTACATGTTTGACTTATAGCTTGTATTTATTTATGCACAACTGTTTTTGTATCAGAAAAAAGCTTCCCCATAGGGAAATCTCATGTAAGCCATTTTAATTAAAATTCTTAGAAAACAAAGCCCTTAAAGCGATTAATTGTTGTAATTATTTTAACTACAATTCACCAAAAAAAGATCATTGTTTCAATGAGTTTTTTTGTGTGAAAATAAAAGGGCACTGCTTAAGAAAAAAAGTTGTTTAAACCATTGCAAATTATCCCGTGGCATAGCATCAACCACAAACTCAACAACCGCTGACACTGTTACACACTGGCACACAAATGCCACAACTGTCACAGACAGAGTAACTTAATACATATAAACGTGTGCATCAAAGTTAGCGCCCAAGGACATTAAACAAAATGCTGTTGCATGGCGAATTTAAAATAGAGAGAAAGTTACACAGTGTTAGTGGAGGGATTTTATGAAAGACAATTCGTAAATTATTTAATTTGCTTAAGTTTGGATTTAAGACGATTGTGGATGACACTTTTTCATGTTATTTAACTTTGGAAATTGTACAAAAATAAAGATAAAGTTGCAGGTTTTTAATAATTTTTCGTTGGACCTGTATCAAAAAGCAGTGGTTTGAATTTATATATTTTTTTAATTTGTTTATTTTTTATTGTTGAATATTTATTTAACAAATATAACGGAATAATAAAATAGAGTATAAATTAATGAAAAAATGTATAGACTCTTCGTCAGAGTATTTAGTGAATTTGGACAATTATCCTACATGGTTGGAGTCTGAATAAATATGAATAATGACTCGATTCTTTGTAAAAATCTTGTTAATTTCCGAATTTCCTAATACAATATTTGATTTTTCGTCAATTTTTCTTAGTTAAGTTACCTTTTTCTGAAGACGACATTACCTAGTGGAAAAAATCTCAAGCCAGCGCCAGGTAATTGAGAAAGCTCTAAACAATTCTCTTTTAGGGGATAAAGTACTAACAAGGAACTCCTCGTGTGGAATTTCAGACAATTGTGGCTAAAATCATCAAAATACCGAATATCGGGGGGTACCGTAATATGGGTGCTATACGATATCGTGGACCGATATAGCCCATCTTCGAACTTTACCTGCCTGCAGACGAAGGACAGATCTGTGCAGAATTTTAGCTTCCTATCTTTATTCGTTATAACTGTAGCGTGAATACAACAGACAGGCAGATTTGGAATCGTTTTAGAATTTTACGCTGATGAAGAATATATATACATATATATATATATATATATATATATATATATATATATATATATATATATATATATATATATATATATATATATATATATATACATATATATATATATACATATATATATATATATATATATATATATATATGGGTCTAAAATTATTGTTTCGATGAGTTACAAACGGAATGACGAACTTAATATACCCTCCATACTATGTATGGTGGACAAATATCAATCGGGTTTGCTGCCAGATTTGGAATATATCGACTACTTCCTATACTTTATATGAAATATGAGCAAAATTTTGGAAAATGTGGAAATATGTCTGAGTTAACAGACATACCAAACGGAAGTATTAAATTTTCATATTT